ACTAGATGTGAATCCGGAATGCTGTGTGCTTGTGGCAGAGGCGGTGTTTGTGTGTGTCATTGTGTGTCTGGAGAGAGGAGCATCCCACACTCCCTCATGAAGCTCTGATGGCCTGTGGGGCCGTCCGTGAGTCAGTGCTTATGTGTATCACCGGGTGCTGGGGTGCTGGTGGGCATGTGGATGCTCGTGCTGCTGTGTCCGTCTGTGGGGTGGGTACCTGTGTGCATGAGTGCATCAGAAGTTCTATCTTGAGAATAATTCGGGCGACGTAAACTTTGAGGCCCTGGGACAGCCACCTCTCAGCACTTCCTCCTTGGTAGGTCACTGCATGGGGAAGCGGACAAGGGCTGCGGGGGGGACCCCAACATCTGGTGTTATCCTTTCCACAGCTGTTCTTGGATCAGCCTCTGGCCCTAGGGAGATGCTCTCCCCACCTCGCGTCCTCGCCCAGGCTGACAGGGAGAGAGGACAGCTTGTGGGAGGTGGGGGAGGGCGGGGGGAGGTTTTATGGGTCACTTGTTATCGAGCATTGTCTTTCATTCTGGACCAAGGAAGTGCAGTTGCCCTTGGAAGTGCTTCCTGCTGCCAGGGGGTCAGCTACCAGTGGGAACATGACTTGTGGGGGGTGAATAAAGCAAGTCAGAGGCTGAGACATTAACCCCGGGCTGCAGACCCCTTGCCTCAGTTTCCTCTTGTGCACCGTGGGAAGGTGCATGTGACCTGACTGGGCAACAGCGAGGGGCCAGCTGTTACAACCCGAGCTGCTCTCCAACTCCTTTACATTAGTCCCTGTTACGCCTCAGTTCCCTGGAAAGAGCCCTGCCTGGGGTTAAGATGCTAGGAGCTGGAGCGTGCCCTCATGAAGTGAGAGGGAGCCAGTGTAAGCAGGGGGGTGAAGCAAGGCAGTAGGAAGTCCATCCCCACTCTAGCTCAGGCTCCGTTGTGGCCCTCGGCATAGCTTCCATCCCCCCCTTCTCTGGGCCTCAGTGTCACCATCTGCTGACCAGGAAGCTATCTGAGGGTCTTTCTAGCCAAGGTTCTTTGGAGATTTAGATGGGTGAAGTTCTCTGCTTTTTGCACACCCAAACCTCGGGGTTCAGTCTCTCTGTCTGTAAATTGGGAAGAATGACGCTGAGTTATGGGTACAAATTTCTGATCTGGAGTTCTCCAGCCTGTCTAACGAGTTCTCCAGTCACTCCCTCTTCCAGCCAGGACTCAGAACCTCACTGCCCAGTACCTCAACCCAAGGTGAGCCCTGGGAATCTCCATGGTAACAAACTGGTTATGAACGGGGCTGCAGTTGCCATGACGACAGGCTGCTCGCTTGCTCTCTCTCTCTCATCCTCCTCATCTCCCCTCCCCTCTTCTCAATGAACCAGAGCGATCTGCAGGGCCCCACCTCTCCAGGTGGGGTGGGGTGGGGGGGTGGGTGCAGTGATAAGGGGGTCCAGATTGAGAAAGAGGAAAGATGCGCTGACTCTGTAAGGGAATGAGGGGCTGTTGGGGTGCCATTACCATGGTGATGGGGCTGCAGCCTGTTAATTAAGCCCCTGGTTGCCACGGAGACGATGGTGGTTGACGTGCTCTGCGGCGAGCCCTGTGTGTGGGGTGTGCTGTGCACTGGACTCATCACTTCACTGCAAGGGTTTTGGGTCTGGAGGACTGGGTATGCAGGTGGGGGAGAGAAGACTGAAGGAGGGGTTCGGGCCTGTGGCTCCATGAGGCTGGAGTCGGGGGTGGGGGGTGAGTTCATGAGGGTGATGACATGGACACAAGCATGGGTAGAGATCGAGCCATTGGAATAACTCTGTGTCTGCCTCCCACGGGATGAGGACCCAGTCAGTTGGCTCCAGCTTCCACCAAAACCAGTTTCTGATCTTGATTCAGTGGATGGAGCCCCGGACTGGAGGTCAGGAGCTGGATTCTAGTCCCTCAGCTACCACAAGTTCGCCCATAAAAAATACATATACATTTCCATTTCTAGACTCCAGTTTATGCATAAACGGGGAGTGGTAAAAATAATTTATTCAGTCTCTTCCAGTTCCCAAATCCTGATACTTAGCAGGCAGCATACTTGAACTTTTTGCCCTCTGAGAAGCAGAAGGTGGGAAGTGGGATGAGTTTTAGAATCAGAGTTCAGAAATAAGGCTCTGCCCAGCTCTGCCTCTTGTGTTTCCTTGATGGAAGGTGCTCTTAGCCCTGGCTCCCTCTAGGGCTCTGGGTGGGCATGGTGTGCTGGTCACTAGGTTCCTGGGGCTTGAAGTTGAGAGTCATTTTACCGGCCAAGGCCAGGCTGCAGTGCTGGAGGTGTCTGCAGTGTGTTTTCTCCGAGTTTCATCACAGAGAGGGTTGGCCTGAGGCCTGAGTAGGTCAACTCATCCCTCCGCCCAACCCTTGAGGAGGGTGAATTGAAGAGCTGGAGTCTACCCTTGGAACTGTTCTCTCATTTGGTCTAAGCTCCTCAGGGAAGACTCTGTGGCTTTAGTCTAAGATAAACAGAGAGAGCACTAAGGAGTTTTCAGAGCGGGATGAAGTCTCTTGGATTCTCTATCCCAGTTTCACAGATGGAGATACGGAGCCAGAGAGAGGAACTCAGTTTTACCCAGTGATACATTTGGGATCCAGGTCCCTCAGTCCCTAAATGGCCAGGTCTCTGGACCACAGATGAAGGGAAATATCCTCAGGGGAACATCCTAGACTTGGGATTGCCAAAAAAACCTCAGCATCTATTTTTTTTCCACAGCAATTCTCACACAATTAGGACTGCATGTTTTACTATGGTTCCTGTGTACAGAGTAGTGGAAAAGCACAGTGCTGCTGCTGCTGGTGGTGTGTGGTGTGGAGTGCTTAGAAATTCTTGCACACTGGCTTGCCCACCTGCTATCCTTTTAACGATCACCAGTCACCAAACTCACCTGACCTTTTTTGTGGTTTTTCTCTCTGGGAGAGTCAAGAAAACGAATTCTCACACCTTGTATGAATAGCTAGCTGTTTACCTAAAAAGTAAACTTTGTGGACACTTCCTAAAGTGTCCACAAAACCCAGTGTCAGTGATACTTTATTGGTGGCCCCTTTCAGTCAGCTGTGGGTGTCCGTGGTCGACCTAATCTGAATCCACGGATGAATGTAGAAAATTGAATCAGAGCGGTGGGGTCTGTCCATGGTTCTGAAAACTCCACCCTGCAACCGGGTGTCCAATCACATGGATGGATTTTTAGGACCTTTGAAGGTCTTCTTGGTACACCTCCAGCATCAAACCGAAAGGCCAAATTAGTCCTGAACCACTGAGACCTGAGCATACATAAAGGGGAATTCATCTCACACTCAGCCCTTGTTCCTTTTTTAGCAGCTGGGAATCAGAGGCTGCTGAGCACTTTGGGCAGACGGCATTCTGTTCCTCCTGTTGGAGGCAGGGCCAGTTTAAAAGGAAGTTATGCTCAGGCAAAGAGTTCTAAACTGGAGTGAGCAAACTGGATTCTAGACCATGTTCTGCCATTTGATGGTATTGTGTCTGCAGGCTTTGGGCTTTAGCTTTTTCATCTCTAAATTGAAAGCTGTGCGCTAGATAAGGTGATTGGTCTGAATCTCTCCAGACTGTCCTGGAACTTGGAGAGGTGGTGTTGGGGGGCCAGAGCGACTCTGAAAAATCATTTCTCCTCAGTCTGTTCTCATTCTTGATGTTCAGATCTTTCAGAGACTCGAAGGGTCCAAACCTCTGATGCCACTTCCTGAGATTGCTACACCTCCTGCTCAATCCTGAATTTTAGGGGTCCTGAGGTGTCCTGGGACAAGCGAGCTTCTGGAGGACTGATGCTGGGGGAGGGGGAGGAACAAAAAGCATGTCAGCGCTGGAATCCTCAGAGAGCAATCCTGGATTAGGATTAGGCTCTCTCCCCCCTCCCCCCTCCCAGAAAATCTGATTCCAAACCAACAAGCGGCCTTGTTCCCCCTCCCCCCACTCTGTCCCTGGCCAGCCTCGGACCAGCTTGCCCTCCCCAGAGGCTGCACCATCTTCAGTGGGGAGTCAGTGCTCCCTGGCATCTCACTGCTGCCTTCTCTCCTCCGACATGTCTCCTCCCCAGGGTCATTTCACAGTCAGAGGGTCCTTGTCCGTGGACTCCAGGGGGTTGTCTTGGGGGCCCAAGATGCTGGCACTCCTGTCAGACTAAGCACAACAAGAGGAATCACTGCAACTCTTCAGGCACCACTTCTCCTATTTTAAGGTGGGGTGAGCCAGACAGTTCAGCCCAGTGACCCTGAACTGCCCTGGGGGAAGGACAGGACTTGGGTTCTGAGCTCCGGCCTCTGCCAGCCCCCTCGCTCCAATCTCTTGAACAGAGACACAGGAGAGGGTCTGGCTGGCTGTCCCCCTGTAGGACTGGCCGCCCAGCTTCCCAGACAGGCTCCTCAGGGATCCATATTCCATGGTGCCCCACCCCCACCACATCAGCCCCCCTCAGCTTCCCCCGAGGGGTCACCCCAGACCCCCAGCCAGGCAGCCGCTGCGGGGCCGCCTCCCCGCGGCCGCGACCTAGTTCCCTGCCGTTATTTTTAGGGCGCGGGATGGCACCTGCCCACGTGCCGGCCCCGCCTGCGCCGGAGAGTGGGGGGCAGACGGAGCTGCGTCTGCTCAAGGGAGGCGAGGCCTCCGTCCCCCGCAGCGCCCCTTCCGTTCCCACCCGTGCAAGCCCCCAGCTTTAGTGCGAAGGGGCGGCCGGGCGCCCTAGGCCCGCCCCGCGTCCCCTCTTCTTCCTCCCTCCCGGGCTCCCCCCCAAAACCCCGCCAGTGGCTCACGCCTCCTGCATACGGGATGAGGTGAGCAGCGCCGCCGCTGAGAGGGGGCGCGCGCGGGTGTGAGCGTGTGTCCGTGTGCGAGTGTGTGTGCGCCGGGCGGGCGGGCACTGCAGCTTCTTCCTCCGTGGAGCGGGGAGCGAGCGGGCGAGAGCGCGGGGCGCGGGCGAGGCGGCGCTGCCATCCCCGGGCCCGGCCGCGCCGCCACCATGCTGAACAACCTGACGGACTGCGAGGACGGCGAGGGGGGCGCCAACCCCGGTAAGCGCAGCCCGGGGGCGGCGCGGGAGGGGGCGGCGGGGAGCGAGGGCGGCTCTGGGGCTGGAAGCGGCGCGGGGGCCGCCTCCCTCCCCGGGGGGCCGGAGGGCCGGGCGGGGGGCGCGCGCGGCCGAGCCCCGCTCCGCTGGAATGCGCCGGGCGCTGTCCGAGGTGCTGGAATGCGCCGCGCCCGCGGGCAGGGCTGGGGGCGCGGGGGCCGCGCTGCCCGGCGCCGGCCGGGGGCCGCCGTGGGTGAGCCGCGCGGGGGCGGCGGTGGGGAAGGGAAGGCAGAGCCGGATGGGCTGACGTGGAGCCCGACGGGCGGGCGGGGGGCTGCGCTCCCCGAGAAGGGACCCCGGCGTCCTGGCGCAGAGCGCTGGCCGGCGGAGGGGCGCAGCCTGCTGCAGTCCCCGCGCTCGGACTTGCGGCTGGAAGGTGGGGGAAGGAGCCGGCGCGGGGCCGAGCTGTGTGACAGCCCCCGTCCGGGCTGCGGCGTCTCCTTAAGGGGACACTTGGTGCAGTCGGGGCCCCTCCCCCAGAGCTGCCCGAGGTCCGACCCCAGCTTGAAGCGCACCCCCCCCCCAGGGTTTTCAGCTCTACTTTGCGGAATCTCCCTCTCGCGTCCCCGTGGGTTCTTATTCAGGACGGGGAGCAAGATCACCCCCCTTTCTTCCCGGTTCCCCTTCCCCTCGGCGCCCGAGGGTGGCAGTGAGGTTTCCAGGGTGGGGCGGGGGAGGGGGCAGGCGAATCTCTCCGGGCAGCTCTGCTCGCTTCCCCGGGAGGCCTCAGGAATGGGGTCCCGGCGGCTGAATTCTCCGCGCCGCGGCGTGGACACTGCGGACGCGCTGCGGTGGGTGCGGAGACTCGCCAGGAACCGAGGGGCTTGGAGCGAGTCCTTTCGCCGCTCTGGCCTCCCCCGCCCTCCTCCGCGGTTTCCCTGCTCCGAGGTCTTGGGGCCAGCCACCTCCTCCGGCTCCCAGGCCCCCCGCCGCCCCCCAGCGGTCTCAGCCATCCATCACGGCTGTCAGCCGCCCCCACCCCCCACCCCCAGCTGCGCTGCGTCCCTTGCGCACTAGCTCCCCTCCCGCGCCGGCAGTCTGCGCTCGGCGCCTCCAAACGCTCCCCTGGGCATTGCTTGACCCTCTGGACCGAGACTCTTGCAGACCTCCCGGGGATGACCCAGTGGCCCCAAGGGCTGAAAGAGCGGGGTCTTCCAGGGACTGGCAGCCTTGGCTTGAAGTCCTCCGGGTCTTGGATCAAACTCAGAGCCAAGTGGCCACTTGAGAGGGCTGGACACCAGGGGCCCCGTCATTTGTCTAACGCTCCCTTACCCCTGAGGCTGAGTAGTATGTGGGGCTTGGAGCTCCCAGCTGACTGCCTCATCCATCTCTCCGGTGACCCTGGAGTTCTCTCATCTGGCAGCTGCCCCCTCCTCCTCATGGGCTCAGGCTGCTAGTGGGGGAGGGGGTTTGGCAAAGTCAAGCCTGCGGCAGTGCCAGGCATCCCGACGCGGAGCCCAGGGAACCAACAGGGGTCATTTCTATCGGGGATCCCCTTCGGATACTTGTATTATGAGGAGAGGGGCTCAGCCGGAGAAATAAGCTCTCTGCTCTCCCAGACATGGACGGTGCGGCGTGATCATCCAGCCCCTGCTTCCTCTACCCCAGTGATGGCACTTTACTGGGCCTCAGGGATTCTGGGGGTCTCAGGATGCCTAGAGAAGAGGCACCCCAGGAACTTCCTTCAGTTTTACCCTCTCCCCATTACTTTCTAGACTCTGAGTGCAGCGGGCCCTTCTGCAGACATTCTTTCTGCATGTGAGGTCCAGGGCCCGGAACTAGAGTGGCCAAGGCTGGGGAGACATTTAGGGGCCCAGGTAGAGAAGGCTTCCCAGTGGCACCTGGAGTTGGTGGCAGAGAGCTGTAAGGACCTGCTGGGTTTGAGGGAAGAAGGACTATAGGCTCACCAGCCCCTGGCATCTCGGATTCTAGGTTCTGGAGGATGCAGGAGACATGCGGGCGCTGACCCGGGCAGGTGGGCGAGGACGGAGTGGCAGAGCTCTGGGCTAACGCAGACCCCAAGGATATTGTCTCTGACCCCAGGTCTTCTTCCCCCTGAGGGTGGGTCACCCTCTCTCCCCCAGTCTTGCCGGGAGATTCCTCCAGGCCCTGCCCCAGGCCCCCAGGGAGGCTCCTCAGCCGGAGCCGCGAGCCTGTGTCCTCCCGGGGAGCTCTGGCGGCCGCAGCTTAATTGAAAGCCGATTGGGGCTGAGCGTTCCCAGGGGGTGGGGGCGGCGGCCGGGAGGGCTCTGGCTCAGTCTGGCCCTGCCTCTCGCCCGTCTCCCCGACTCCTGGCTCCGGGCAAGGAGGGCGAGCTCCCCATTCGCAGTCCTGCGCCTCCGAGAACTCGCGAAGCCAGCCGGCCCCCCCTCGGCCGGCGCGCGGCGTCCGGGGGAGCGCACGGAACCAGCCCTGGCGGAGGAGCCCCGGCCCCGGCGTCGGGCGCAGACGGCGGGAGGAGAGGCGGGGCCCGGGACCAGCCCGTCGAGCCGCCCCCTCCCCGCCACTGCTCTCTGGCTGGGCTCCCGCCCCGAGTCGGCTCCGCGCTGCGCGCCGCGTTACATAAGCGACTGCGGGCGCGTGGCCTGCTCGGCTCGGCGCTGCGCTCCCGGCCCGCGCGGTCGCCATGGAGACCGGTGCAGGGCCGCCTAGTTGCGGGGTCTTGGGCCAGGACGACCCTGCTCGGGCCGGGTGCTGGCCCTGGGCACCCACGAGGGAGGAGGGGCCTGGAGCTGGGCGCGAGCGGCGAGGCTCTCCTGTGGGTACCCTGGTCCTCAGAGCAGGCGCTCGGGGGAGACCCCCCAGCCTTGAGGCGGGAGGGGGGTGTGGGTTGGGGAGCCCTGACTGGGTGGGGCACCACGAACCTGCCTCATCTTCATGATTGTCATAGTAGCAGCAACAGCTGCGCTTGGGTCAGGCGCTCCGGCAGGCAGGATGCGCTTCACCCCCTCAGCAGCCCTGGGGGTGAAGCACCTTCCTCCCTTTGCGAGGGAGGAAACTGAGGCCTAGAGTTTGTTACTTGTGCAATTTGTAGACACTCCCTGGGAAGCTGGAACTGAACTTCAGTCTTGACTTCAACCCCGCTTCTTAACCTTTAAGGCATTTAATGTCATTTCCCCTCAGCCTCTCCGTGCGCTGAGACACAGGCATCTTATTAGCATTTTAAACGGAGGGATCCACCCCACTTTTAGTTCTCCTGTTTTCTGGCCCCAGAAAACTCTGCTGAGTCTTAGGAGCCAGGAAAAGTCGGAGGGATTTGATCTCCAAAACTTCCCTGAGCACCTACTATGTGCCAGTTTCCCACTAGGAGGATGTGGCTGCTGTTCCTGGCCACTAATACGTGTGAGAACAGGGACGGCCGCACCTCCTCCCTGGGGACCAGGAGTCCTGGGTTATTGGTCGTGGTGGTGGCTGTGGCAGGAGACAGCGGGTGGCGGGCTTCCCTCCAGGGGCAGGGGCTCTTAGTTCCCCTTCCACAACTTTGAGTTGCGGTGGGGTTGTGTCCGTGATGGAGCATGCTCTGGGGATGGCCCCAGACCGGGCAACTAAGGAAGTTTTTCCTCAGGTAGGGAGGTGACAGGCCGGCAGGTGAGGGGACAAGAAATTCAGAATAGTGGGAGATGCAACTTCACTTGGGATTTGGTCATTGGGAAGTTTCCCCGGGGCCCAGGGAGATGTCTGCTGCGCGGGCTCAGCCCTGGGACTGAGGAAGGAGGATGGCTGCAGCCTAGGGGACGGGCTTAGGGGGTCCCTTGTATCTCTTTGAAAGGGCCTCTCCTTGATCCCCAAGGGACTTTCTTCTTGGGTGATCCATCCACTTCCAACTCACTTTTTCAAAGATTAATTCCCATCTCTTTCTCTTGCCTGCCCCCCCCCCATTCTAGATTGACCCACATATCCAAGCAGCTTCTGGGAACAGTCACATCCAGCAGCGCCTCACCCTCAGCCAAATCCAGCACCTTCCCCACTTCTAATCCCCCCCCATTTATTAAAAAGCACCATCAACCATCCATTTACCCGTGCTAGGAAACCCAGGAATTATCCTAGATTCCCCCTTCTGCTGTCCTCAAACATATGGCACAGAAACATGTCCGTCATTCTTGAGTCTCCATTGTCCCACATGCTGGTCTGGGTCATTGTCAGCCCTGGCCTGAAGTGCTGAAGGTCTCCGACCAGCTTCAGGATTCCCCGTCTGAAGGCTAGCGTGGTTGCCCTAACGCTGTGTTTCTTCATCGCCTTTCTTTCTTTCTTTTTATTAAAAAAAAAATTTACTTTACTTATGCATACAAGAGCTGGGGTACAGGCCAGAGATGCAGGAGGATGAGAGGATTCACCAGAGACAGAGTGGGGAACAGAACAGGCAGAAGGACCGAAATACACTGCTGAGGGGAGCAGCGGGTGAGACAGGAGAGGTCTGCTGCGCCATGTGGGTTGCTCCCTGGCCGGCCTGGGGACCAAACTCGTGCTGCAGAGGCTGCGGATGGCTTCACAGTGCGGTGCTTAACCCCTTGTGCCACCAGGGAGGCCCTTCATCGCCTTTCTTTATCTGAAACTCTTCAGTGACTTCCTCTTGTCCTCTGGGTGAGGCCTCACGTCTTGAATCCAGTCTGCTAGTTGTCTAAGGACCCACACTCACCTTCCCAGGCAACTCTTTTCACATGTCATCCCCCGCCCCCACCTTGGCCCACTCCTTCCTCAGACTCCCACCCTGTCAGGCTTCTCTCAGGTCCTCTAGCCTGCTCTATTCACTCTCGCCTCTGGGCCGTTGAACATGCTGTTCTGCTGTTCTCTCTGCCCGGAACACCCTCCCTCCTCCCTCCCAGTCTAGCTCTTACTCATTCTTCAGTTTTCAGCTGACACGTCACTTCCTCTGGGAAGCCTTCCATGACCTCCCAGCCTAGGCTGCCTGCTTCTCCCGTGTTCCCACAGTCCCCTGTTCATCACAGAACTTCACTCTGGATTGGAAGTTCCCGGTGACTGGTCCTCTCCCCTGCTCTTGGTTTCCTTGAGGGTACACAGTGTCTATCTCATGTTTTACTCCACCCTCTGTGTCCACGTTGGCACCTGGTAGATATCCAGTAAATACATGTGGGTTGAAGGTGAACGAGGGGCTAAGGAGGTGTCAAAGGGGTCACTTCTGCAAGAGGTGGAATATCCCTGGGGTCACAGGCGGTAGAGTTCTCTGCCTCTCTGCCCTGGAAAGAGCACGCTTCCACCCCAAAATATCAGTTACATTCAAGGAGGGACCCTGGAGAGTCTAGGGTGCCCTGGAGAATGAAGCAGGACTCCTTAGAGCAAATGTATTCATTAAACGCCCAGCACACGCCAGGGAGGGCCCAGGCTTTTATCCACGCTGGCAGCTACAGTTCTGCAAGGAGGTATGAGCTCCATTTTCCCAGTGGGCAAAGCGAGCTTCAGAAAGTTGGCTACACAGGCCGGTGTATGCCCAGAGCGGTGGTGCGGACCCTGGGCTCCTCTTGTCTTCTCAGGTGATGGCAACCCCAAGGAGAGCAGCCCCTTCATCAACAGCACCGACACGGAGAAGGGGAAGGAGTATGATGGCAAGAACATGGCCCTGTTCGAGGTGGGCTGCAGGGGGTACTGGGCCCCCACCCTCAAGTCACTGCCCCGCTCACCAGCTGCTTCCTGTCGCTCTGGGAACAGTGCCCTCGCTCTCTGCCTCAGATGCACCTTCTTCCTTGAGCCACTGCACCCTTGTTTCTCCCTTCTGCACCCCCCCCCATGCCCTTTGCTTTATCCTCTCCCCATCGCAGCCCATCCTCAGTGCTTCTGCCTTCCGGCTCCCCCCACTCACTCCCTGAGGCCCTGACACTGCCACCCCCTCCACAGGAGGAGATGGACACCAGCCCCATGGTGTCCTCCCTGCTCAGTGGCCTGGCCAACTACACCAACCTGCCCCAGGGAAGCAGGGAGCATGAAGAGGCAGAAAACAATGAGGGGGGAAAAAGAAGCCGGTGCAGGTGAGCATCTTGGGAAGAAGGGAGGGGCCTGAGGGTGGGCTGGGCGGGGAGGGGGTGGCACCCGGAAAATGGAGGCATGGGGGGTGGAGGGAGGTCGGGGCAGAGATGGAGGGGTGGGGGCTGGAAGGGTAGTAGTGGAGGCCTGAGGCAGGTGAAGGGGCTGGCAGGGCGGGCATGGGGAGAAGCAGCAGGATGGAGTCGCAGAGAAGAGGGAGAGAAGAGCTGGAGAGACGTGGGGGTGCAGCGGGGGAGGGCCGGGGGTGTTGGCGGTGGTTGGGGGCTGCAGAAAAGGACGCTGGCCTCCCGCAGGCTCCCCGCATGGGCACCTTCATGGGCGTGTACCTGCCGTGCCTGCAGAACATCTTCGGTGTCATCCTCTTCCTGCGGCTCACCTGGGTGGTGGGCATCGCGGGCATCATGGAGTCCTTCTGCATGGTCTTCATCTGCTGCTCCTGTGTGAGTGACGCCCTCCCCTCCCCGCCCGCTGACAGCTGGGGCTGAGTGGGACCTGGGGGCGGGAGGAGGCGAGGGTGGGGGGAAGCATGAGAACGGAGCTTTTTATAGGAACCACTGCCTGTGATCTCTGCGCGTCAATTAGGTCTGACCGGTCCTTCCTGCCTCTCCACGCAGGTCCCTAACCCCGTTAACCTGGTCTCCCCTGGGCAAGCGCGGGGGGCTGCGCGATGCAGATTCATTGATGAAAAGGATCAGTGTAGAGAAAGACGTGCATTTCGCTTCTAAGCCCAAGATGGTTAACATTCTCCTAAGTCCAGACTGGAAAAAATAGATTATGTGTCAAAAACAGCTTTGGGACCGAATGGTTCCAGCCCTTTCTAAAAAAATCAAGCATTCACTAAACACCTACTTAATCGACACACTTCTACTTCCTCACACATAGCCCTCGAGCCGCCACCTCTGCGTGCGCGGCAACCCGTGCTGCAGCCATGGCTCCTGGTTTATAGAGGAAGAAGCTGAGGCTTAGAGAAGGGAAGGGGCTTGCCTGAGGTCAGACCCCTCGCCGGAGCCCTGTGCCGCAGCCGCAGGCTCCTCCACGCGGGTGTGAACAAGAGGCTTTCTCGACAAGGGCTTGGCAGGAGTAGGAGTTGGAACAGGACCAGGGAGAAGCTCGGCGAAGAGGACTTGCGGGCTTGGCGGGTGTTTGTGGACTGTAGGGTTTGGCCCCCAGGCCGCGGCAGCCCCGCCCAGCGGCATTCGATGCTCTCTCTCCTGCAGACCATGCTCACGGCCATCTCGATGAGCGCCATCGCCACCAACGGCGTCGTGCCCGGTATGTCCCTGGGGCTTCCAGAGGGGGGCCTGCCCAGGTGGAGGGAGAAACAGTGCCTCTGGCCTGGGGGGCCGTCAGGAACCAAGCGGGCAATATTGCAGACCTGGGGGTGGGGCCTTGTAGTTGGCAGGTGGGGGCAGCCCTGTGAGGGGAGGGCAGGAAGACGTGCTGGCGTTGAACAGGGCAGTGCAAGATCTCCGCTCTGCCTGAGACCCTCTGCTCCGTCATCCTATTTTCTGAGCCTTGACCTCCTTAGAGGGGTAATTAGCAACATGGTAATTAGTGCTGCGAGATCCACTCACAGTGGCTGGCTGGGGCTCTCACCAGGCCCAGGGCTGCAGCCTGAAAGGCTCGTGTGGCCCAGAGCAACCCCCGACCCCCTCTGTCCGAGCCCCCTCATGCTCTACAGTGGCCCCGCGCCCCTCAAACCTCTTGCTGATACTAGGTTCTTTCTGCAGCTGGCGGCTCCTACTACATGATTTCCAGGTCTCTGGGCCCAGAGTTTGGGGGCGCCGTGGGCCTCTGCTTCTACCTGGGCACTACCTTTGCTGGGGCCATGTACATCCTGGGCACCATCGAAATCCTACTGGTGAGAGGGGCCAAGGAGGAGGTGTGGGCTCCCAGGCTGTCAGTCATTAACTGGTGCTCCCTGGACACCTCCTACAGGCCAGGCCACCCAGGAAGGCTGCAGAGAAATGAGATGTGCTTTGGTCTGTAAAGAGTCCCCAGTCTAGTTGGGGAGGCAAGATCCAGTAATTATGTAACAGGAACAGCTGCCGTTGGTAGGCGCCCACTGGGCTCTTAGCAGAGGTCCCAAGTGCTTCCGAGGCGTTACCGTCCATCCTCATGAGGTTCAGGTATGAAGATGCCCGCTTCACAAATGAGAAGCTCAGAGAGGTGAAGTGTCTTGTTCAAAGTCGCTCAGCTGCCAAGTTGCAGAGGTGGGTTGAGAGGAGTAAAGTCGCGGTAGGAATAACACCGGTGGTGCCACACAGTAGCCACCATTCTGTGATTGTCTGCTGCATGCAGGGAATGTTCGAAGCCCTCCGGGAGTGTTCACTGTTAGGGCTGATGGCTGGGGGACTGCACAAGGGAGGAAGGATGTGAGGGAGCTGGGTGAAGAAATCTGTCAGGAGCAGAGACCCCAGTACGGCCAGTGGGCAGTGCTTGAAGGAGGGGCCTGCTGACCGGTCACCATCCTTCCTGCCTCTCCCAGGAGGAGGGGGCTTCGCTTCCCGGGCGCAGAGACAGTGGAACTGATGTTTGCAAACTCCTGCACTGCCCCGGTCCCGTGACCTGCGATACCTCGTCTCATGTCATCCTTGTGGCTCTCCTGAGAATCAGTTGTCCCTGTTCCACAGAGGGGGAAAGCAAGTCTCAGAGATTAAGGAACACGGTGGGAAGATAGGAGCCTTGTCTGTCTCACCCGAAGGCCTGTTCCGGCCCCTCTGCCACACTGCCCGGGAGAACCAGAGCTAAGAGATGTGCAGTTCTGGGTTGAGGGGAAAGGCCCAAAGACAAGGACCCAAATTATGAGAGAACAATAAGAGACTCCCCCAGCTTTCACAAAATTCGATAATTTAAAAAATTATTACAAAAACAGTTCTGCCCATTGCATCTATATTGCATGGTGTCAAAGAATATGAAAAAGGAAATAGCGGTTGGCTGAAGAAAATCACCAAAATCATCCATTTTGGTGTATTTCCTTCTAGTTTTTGTTTTTCGACGTGATATTGGATTGTGTTGTAAAATATAAGTCTACGACTTTCCCTAAATAACTCAAAACCTCTTTGTAAATATCATTCATAAGTGAATATAATTTTTGTGAAAATGTAAACATTATATGATAAATACAGTCATTTCCCCCCTTATCGGTGAGGGATGCCTGACACCAGGGATAGTACCAGGCCCTGTGCCTTTTCTTCTCCCTAGACACACAGGCCTTTGATAATGCTTAATTTATACATTAGGCACATGAGGGATTTACTACAATAATTAATAATAAAATAGAACAATACTCTGTAATAAGAGTTATGTGAATGTGGTCAGTCTCTCAAAACA